CCCAGCTTCAGCCCGAATGTCCATCAACAGGTGAGTTAAACAGCTACTTGGTGGAATATTATTCAACCATGAAAAGGAATGAGGCTCTGACACACACCACTGCACGGATGAACCTGGAAAACATGCTACGTGAAAGCCGCCAGATGCACACAGCAATCACACTGTGCGATTCCATTTATAGGAAATTTCCAGAACAGGCAAATCCACAGAGACAGAAAGAAGATTAGCGGTTGCCAGGGCCTGGGGGCTGGGAACGGGGAGGGACTGCTTAATGGATCCAGGGCTTCCTTGTGGGGTGATGGGGCATTCTGGACCCAGAGGGAGGGGGTGGTTGCTCAACACTGTGAATGTACCAGACACCACTGAATTGTACACTTCAACATGGTGATTTTATGTTGTGTGAATTTCACTTCAATTAAAAAAAAAAAACACTATTAAAAACTCCTTATCTGAGAAGCAGGGAGAGCAACACCCTGTAAGACCGTTGACAGGATTAACCAAAAGTACCATCTGTACCTTGTGTGACCCGCCCAGCACTGCCTGCAGCCAAGCCCGGTACTCAGAACAGGCAGCAGGGGTGAGTCAGCACAGGGAAGTGTAACCTCCCTGCTGGCTCCAGAGTCTCCAGGGAGACCCCAAGGGACCCCAGAGAGTGGCCAGGGTCCTCACCTGCTTGTGCATCACCCACCATCCCTGCCATTCCTGTCAGGACCCCAACACCGCACAGGAAGGGGGCTGGGTACCCCCAGAAGAGTCTGCACGTGACCTGGGGGCCACCCAGGCCCAGCTGTCTCCATGGGCCTGCAGGCGAGGGCCAGCTAAGTGCTCCAAGTGCAGGTCCCAGGATTGGCCGACCACCCCAGCCCGACGAAGGCAGCTGGGCGGGCCCCGGGCCTCGGCCAGCCTCTGGCCCTAGAAAAGCCAGTCTGTCTCCTAGAGCTGCCGCACCAAATGATGACACATTCAGTGGCTTAAAACAACTCCATCTATTCTCTCCGGGTTCTGGAAACCAGGAGTCCCGAGATCAGCGGGCTGGTTGCCTCTGGAGGCTCCAGGGGGCAATCCCTTGGCCTTCCAGCCCCTCCTGTCCCTTCTAGCCAGCAGAGCTCCCAGGCCCATGCAGCCTCTCCCACAACCCTGTCCTTGCCCCCAGCCCCGGGGCCTATTGTTTCCAGGCACACGTCTCCTGTTGCTCCCCCAGCAGACTGGTGCTCCCTGAGGGCGGGTCCACGGGGAACTGCTCCATCATCCCAGTGCTGGTTTAGGGTGCTCCCACCCCCGTGTCTTCAGCCCAGCCTTGGCAAAGCCTTTCTGTCTTCCCAGGCCTCGGCCGTGCCAGCCACTCAAGTAAATTAATGTTCCCATCAACGCTGACTCACAGATGAGAACACAGAAGACCCTGCCAATGGCTGCCCACCCCCGGCCCGCCCCAGAGCAGCCCTTCCCCTGGTGGGGACAGAGCCATGAGCCCAAGGAGCAGCCAGCCGCCCACACTGAGGCTGCCTTGGTTTCCTTCCTAATAGAGTTTGGGGGCTTGGCGATCCTGCTCCAGCTCTTCGAGGAGGGCAGGGACCCCCACCTCATCTCACAGAAGAGGAAACCCAGGCTGGCACCCACCCTAGGGAGGGAAGCTTCAGCTGACTCCAGGCCTGGGAGGACCTGGAGGACTTGCCATGGCTCCTCATATTAGAACAGCCCAGGGGAACTCAGGGACCCCATGCTCCAGGAGCCTGTCCCCCGAGCCAAGGGGACCTCAGAAACCGAGACCACACAGAGAACTCAGGAGAGCAGCGGACGGAGAGTCCTCAGCCCTGGACGGCCCCTGGGCGGGCCTGGGTCTGCAGCCCTTCTTGAGCTAGGCGTGCGTGAGCCAGCCGAGGCAGAGAGCAGACTGCTGAACAGTCTTCCCTGTTCGGCAGCAGGGAAGGCGGGACACGGAAAGCAGAGGGCAGGGAGGTGTGGTCGAGGTCAGACATCACTGACAAATAGAGCAGTGGATAAACCGGGAGAGGAGCGGCCTGAAGACAGGAGCGATGCTATCGGGGTTGCTGAAATGTTAATTACAGACCTCGCCACCCCTCCCAGATCAGAGGGTGCCCTTTATCTGCCAGTCGTCTCATCTCTGCTCTTCCCAGGCAAGCCTTGCCAGGAGAGGGTACAGGGTGGAGACCGCTTCCTAGTTCACAGAGAGCAAACAGGCATACATCTGGGCTCTCCCCGTAGCTTAGATGGTCAGGAATCCGCCTGCAGTGCACGAGACCTAGTCGATCCCTGGGTTGTGAAGATCTCCAGGATGGCACCCCACTCCAGTATTCTTGCCTGGTGAATCCCCCTGGACAGAGGAGCCTGGCGGGCTATAGTCCATGGGGTCACAAAGAGTCAGACAGGACTGAGTGACTAACACTTTCACTGTTCCTCCTGTTTGATAGAGGAAGACTCTGATAGAGAGACTCTGACAGGTGAAGTAACTTGTCTGGGGCACACAGCTCTTTCGTTGCAGTTTGAATCCAGGACTGTGGGGACCCCCTCACCAAGAGCAGACTCCCATCCCCTCCATCCCTGCTGCCTGGTTAATCAGCTCCATCAGCCTGGTCTCAGGGGTCTGCTGCTCCCACCAGGGTTAGGGCGGAGCTTCTAGAGGAAGATCAGAGTGCTCCCTGCTCCATCAGCACAGAGGCAGGGTCCCATCCTGCATCTGCCTCCCCAGCAGGATGACCTTGGGCATGCTGCCTAACCTCTCTGAGCTGTTTCCTAGTCTGTAAATGGGCTGTTAAGAGGATTTATTTCCTGAATAAATAAGAGATAATACAAAACAAAAAAAGGAACAAAGCCTGCCTCACAGGACACCCTTAATAAGTGTCAGCTGCTGGCAGCGTCTCATGAGTGTTTGTTTAAGGCTGGAAAATCCAGGAACATTACAGGATCAGATGTGACCCCAATGAGGGGTGTTTCAGGGCTGTGACAGCAGTTGAGGGAAGGGAAAGCTTGCAAAGGCCTGAAGCCCACGTCAAGGCCCCTCACCGGCTGCTCGGTCACCAGAGTGCTGGCTGAGGGGATTATGGGGCCCTCGGGATGGATCTTATCGGATCAAGTGCTGCCCTCCACTCAACGGAATTTAGAATGAGTTCTCATTTCTGCTCGGCCCAGCCTGTCTCCCAGGACAGCGTGACACCCTGCCATTCCCCCAGAACCTTGGCTCTGAGCACCACCACAGCCCAACGGCCCCCTCTTCCATCCAGCCCTGATGCTGTGAACAGAAATAGGGGCCAACTCACAGCCTCCACTTGCCGCTCATCCTGAACCAGTCCCCTGGCTTCCCCTTCAGGCGCAGCATGCCTACCCAGGTCCTTGGCCACAAGGACCCAGTGAAGCTTAGCAGGACCCTCTGGGGCCCTGCATGGGCTTCCCCGGTGGCTCAGACAGTAAAGAATCTGCCTGCATTGTAGGAGACCCGGGTTCCATCCCTGGGTCGGGAAGATCCCCTGGAGCCCACTCCAGTATCCTTGCCTGAAAAATTCAGGCAAGAGGACAGAGGAGCCTGGCGGGCTACAGTCCACGGAGTCACAGAGAGTCAAACACGACTGAGTGACTAACACACAGTCAGGGCCCTGCAGGACACAAAAGCCTTTCTGTGTCCCCCCATTTCTTGTTTGTTGGAATTAGGCTTCATTCAGCCTCCTAGGAACCTTCCCTGAGTTCCAAGGAACAGATTCAAAGTTGTCAGTCAGGAAAGGGAGAGAGTCCCTTGGACTGCAAGATCAAACCAGTAAATCCTAAAGGAAATCAGTCCTGAATATTCACTGGAAGGACTGATGCTAAAGCTGAAACTTCAATACTTTGGCCACCTGATTCGAAAAACTGACTCACTGGAAAAGACCCTAATGCTGTGAAAGATTGAAGGCGGAAGGAGAAGGGGACAACAGAGGATGAGGTGGTTGGACGACATCATCAACTCAAGGGACACGAGTTTGAGTAAGCTCTGGGAATTGGTGATGGACAGGGAAGCCTGGCGTCCATGGAGTTGCAAAGAGTCGGACACACCTGAGTGACTGAACTGAACTGAACTGATGGTACTGGATGCCATGATCTGCTTTTTCACTCTCCACTTTCTATCTCCATGAAGAGGCTACTGAGTTCCTCTTCACTTTCTGCCATTAGAGGGCTTGCATATCCGAGGTTGTTGATATTTCTCCCAGCAATCTTGATCTCCTTGCTTAGCCCTGCAATAAACCTTTCTCTGCTGTAAACTCCAGTGTCTGGGTCTGTTAATGAGGCTAAATACGGTGCCCAGCTTCACAGGCACAGGAGGACAAGCCTGTGGGGCCCTCTCCCCTCCCCTAAACTTCTAGCTCTCCTACCCACACCCACAGCCCAGCTGCAGCTAAGCCCCATCCCAGGTCAAACGTTGTTCTCCACTGAACGGTGAATCCATTCTCCTCTACTATCTATTCCCAAAGGATCAGCCTGGCAAGACATCTCAAGATAGGGGAATGGAAGTGGAACAGCCTGAGACACTTAAAACTGGAAGCAAAAATCCCAGGGGGAGGGCGGGGTGGGGGGAGGGTAAGCAGGCAGGGTCGGGACCCACCAGGATGCAGCTTCGAGTCCCCGACGTGAAGCATCAGCTCTAGAACTTTAGGGGAAGATGAAGTCCTGGAGAGTAATCCCATCTCCCCCTCCAGCTCACCTGCCGCCCAGGTCCAGACCTAGATTTCGGCTCCTCCCCACCCCCCCACCCCCACCCCCGCCACCGACGCGCCCCAACTAATTATCAGTGAGCAGATAAAAGAGAAAGGCATTAGGAAAGGCCAACGCCACCTTTATTTCTGAGTCCGCGCATACTGGAGAGGGCCCTCGGGCGTAAGGCCACAGTGGGCTCCCTCTCGATCCTCCCCAAGACGCGACAAAAACGCCTAACCCCCGAGGGCCCACTGACCTCGGCGGCCTCGAGAACAGTTCAGAAACCGCGCCGCCTGCGGGCAAGGGTCGCTTGGCTGGGCATGCGCAGAGGGCGCGCCGCCCGTATTAGTGGGGCGGGGGTCCCGGGCTGGGCATGCGCAGAGGGCGCGCCACCTGCGGTCCCGGCTCAGGGGCTGGGCATGCGCAGAGGGCGCACCGCCTGCGGGAGGGGCTCCTGGACTGAGCTTGCGCACAAGAATCAGTCTGGGGGCGGCAAAGAGAGACGGGAGGTGCTGGCGGCCTGGAGCAGCATCCGGGAGAGCGCCCTCTACGTGCAAGAACTTCCCGAATGGAGGAGACGCACCCTCGGCCCCCCACCACCAGCCTCCTGGCCATCCTGGCAGAGGGTCTTGCCTCCTGAGGGCCACAGCTGCCCACGTCTCCCCCTTTCTGCTCCTGCCTTCCTGTCCAAGATCGGCCCCACACTTGCCCCCTCCGAGGACTCTCCCAGAAGCCAGGCTGATCTTTTCGATCAGATCACACCCACCTGGCTCAGTCCTTTCAAGACCGACATCCCCAGTCGGCTCCAGGGGGCTTGCCTGCTCGACCCTGCCCTGGTCTCCAGCTCCTCTCCATGCCCAGTTGTGGAGCTTTGGCCACAGGACCTTTGCACTGGCTGCTCTTCCCCCCCAACCCTCCCTCCCACCCCGCATTCCACCTGCTTCTCCATGCCTCTTTCAGTTATCAATGATCCATCCCTCTGCTGTTTCCTTCCTACTGCCAGCCAAGTATCTCTCCAAAGGACTGAGTTACTGACTCAGTCGTGTCTGACTCTTTGTGACCCCATGCACTGTAGCCCGGCAGGCTCCTCTGTCCATGGGATTTCCCAGGAAAAAAAATCCTGGAGTGGGTTTCCATTTCCTTCTCCAGGGGATCTTCCCGACCCAGGGATCAAACCCGGGTTCCCACATTGCAGGCGGGTTCTTTTCCTCCTGAGCCACAGGAGAAGCCCAGAGGGCTGAAGACAGTCACAATTTTGCATTTACTCTCTGTAAGTCACTAGTGTCTGCCCCCTGACTGTCACCTTCCAGAATGCAGGGCTTTCTTTCATTCCCAGGTCAATACCCAGTGCCCATCATAGCACCTGGCACCCAGTAGGTGCTCAATAAATATTCGGGGGTGAGGAGGAAGGGGAGAGGAAGGAGGGGGGAATCCCGAGGGTGGGCATTGTGGGGCCCTCAAAGGAGTGCTTCTTCTGAAGGAGGATGAACAACAAAGCGTGAGGGAGTGAACTGGCAGAGCAGGGTGGGGCTTCCACGCTGGGAGCCGAGTTCAGCTCAGGTGAGAGGAGGACTCACGGCAGAAATGAGGAGCGGCCCGAAACTTCCATCATGTGGTCACAGGTAGCTCTCACACGTGAGCTCGCTGAATTCTCACCCTGGCCCACAAGAGAGGTGTCCCCATGCCCCCAATTCACAGAGGAGCAAGTGGAGGCCAGGGAGGTGAAGGGCCTCATTCGGGCCCCACGTGAGGAGGTGCTGCTGACCCCATCTCTGCTGCCGCACGTCCTGGGGCAGGGGCCTGGGCTGACGGGCAGCTGGCCTCCTGGACTGCTTGCATGTTCCCTGAGAGCCCCAGCCGTCTTGTGGGGGTTAACCCTGACGCACCCCCAGACCCGGGTGCCGTGGGCGCTCCTCAGGAGCCCCGGGAGGGAGCTGGTGCTGGCCCTCCCTGCCTCTGAGGTCCTCGCCTCTTAACAGCTGCTGGGGGCTGCCCTGGCCCAGCGCCCACCAGCGTGTGAAGTGCTTCCCGAGGGAGTCCTCAGGGAAGCCCCCGCCAGCCGCCCGCCTCAGAGTGCATCAAGAAAGAGGCCTTCCTTCCGGGCTCATCCGCCAGGGCCACCAGGGTCAGGCCTCGGGTCACCCTCCAGCCGCGACAGGAAGCCTCCCATTAGTCTGGAGTGGGGGTAGGCAGGGGCCAGCAGACTGACCCGGCCAGCTGGGGACACCAGCTGTCTGGGCTGAAACCAGCTTGTACTGCTCTGTGACCTGCCTGCTGGACACGCGACAGGGCCCAGACCTGGTGCCATCTGGGACTGGTCATTACAAGTCCGTCCTTGCGTGCCCCACCTGGGCTGGCGACTGAGGGGGCGGTCCAGAGCCGGCCTCGAGGGAGGCCTCCGTTGGCCTCCCTGCCTCCACTCCAGCCCCTCCAGCCCCTCCTCCACACCTGTGCTGTCCAGAGCCGTGGCCACCAGCCTTAGGTGGCCACTGAGTTCTGTGGCTCAGACGGTAAAGAGTCTGCCTGCAACGCAGGAGACCCAGGTTCAATCCTTGTATCAGGAAGATCCCCTGGAGAAGGAAATGGTTACCCACTCCAATATTCTTGCCTGGAGAATCCCATGGACAGAGGTACCTTGTGGGCTACAGTCCATGGGGTCGCAAAGAGTCAGACATGACTGAGCGACTAACACTTCAGTCTGACATGAGATGTTCTGTAAGTATGAGAAAAATAATGTAAAGTATCTCAATGATTTTTATATTAGGTTAACTAAAATATATTACTTAAATAAATTGCATGATTACCTTTTCCTTTTTATAGCATGACTGTTAGAAAATTTAAAGTTGCTTATGTGTCTTATGCGATTCCTATTGGAGACCAATGTCCACACCACCAACAGAGGGAACTTTCCGAATCTAAATCAGTCTCTGACTGAAAGGGACTCAGAGAAAGTCCTTCATGCTCAGTGTGGACTTTTCCTGTGACTCAGTGTTGTTTCTGACTGCTAACCCCACTTTCCATCTGCCCCAACCGTGCCACAGCCTCACCCACCTCCGGGCCCAGCATGAGCCGTTCCCCTCTGGGTAATGCCCTTCTTGGATCTCTGCTCCCCTTTGTATGAGTGTCGCCCCATCCTTGACACTTCCCTGACCAGCTCTCGTGTCCAGTCCACTCCAGCAGCCCCTGCCACAACCCCTGGACTGGGCTCAAAGAGGTGGGTACCCAGTGCCAAGGTCAGGCTGGATAACTCACCTCTGAGCCTCGGTTTGCTCATCTGTAAAATGGGAGCAAAGGAATGTGTCCCACCCCCCCCTTCACAAGGCCAAGGCACAGCTCGGAGAGAGTGTGCTCGGACACTCGCTTGGGGCCAGCTGGCACACAGTAGGTGCTTGGGGACCTTTGGTCAGGGGTGTTAAAGTCAAGAAACGAATGAGGCAGTGGATAAGTAACATGAGCTCAGTCGTGTCTGACTCTGCGACTCCACGGATTGTAATCCACCAGCCTCCTCTGTCCATGGTATTCTCCAAGCATGAATACTGGAGTGGGTTGCCATTTCCTCCTCCAAGGGATCTTCCTGACCAGGAATCGAACCTGCGTCTCCTGCATTGCAGGTGGGTTCTTTACAATGGAGCCACCTGGGAAGCCCACAGTGAGGCAGCCACCCTCCCAGATGGAGCCAGGGATTTTCTCAAACTTCCCAAGTCCTGTACTGGGTGCCCCGGGGGGTGGAGCTGATCCCAGGGTGCCTCCCAGCTGCCCTTCCACCTGCCCTTCCAGCCAGGATCTCAAAGGTAAACCCAGAACCCCGCCTACTCCAGTGGCTGAATACAGATCTTAAGTTTTTTGTTTTGTCGAGAGTGATGGGCTTTTTAACGTTAATGCAGTCGCCCACACTTATTGGAAGCACGCATCTGCCAGATGTTAACGTAGATGATCTTAACTACCTCCCTGAGTTGGTTTGCTGGGCTGCCTAACCCACGCCACAGGGCCCCAGGAGGGGCGGCTGAAAGGGCAACTTTTGTTGTCTCAGGGCTCTGAAGGCGGAAGTCTGAGATCAAGGCAGGCTCCTCCTGATGCCTGAGGGAAGTTCAGTTCCAGGTCCCGCTCCTTGGCTTGTGCATAAAGTGAAGTTGCTCAGTCGTGTCCGACTCTGCGACTCCATGGGCTGTAGCCTACCAGGCTCCTCTGTCCATGGGTTTTCCAGGCAAGAATACTGGAGTGGGTTGCCATTTCCTTCTCCAGAGACGGTGCATAGCTGTGGGTGAATTTCCCCTGCTTACAAGGATGCTGATCAGGTTGGATTAGGACTGCCCTACCTGATTTTAACGTGACAGCCTCTGTAAAGGCCCTATCCCCAAACTAGTTCCCACTCTGAGGTCCTAGGGATTAGGATTTGGACATATGAATTCGGGGGCACATTTCAACCCATAATACCCCTGAAAGGGAAGACCCCTACCCCACAATCCAGAGGAGGTGGTTAGGAAGGGGGCCAGACCCCTCGCGGGAGACAGCAGTGTCACTTGCAGGAAGGGAGGCCCGGGAGAAGGTGGCTCCCAGCCTGTGGGTGAATCGAGTTCACCAGGGCAGTTGTCACAGTCAAATTTCAAAACCCAGGCCCTTGCAACAGCCTCCTCCCCGGGGCGGGTATCGATGCTTCTCCTCCAGGTCTAGGGCGGTCGTTCCCACAGACTGCGCGGGTCCCACCCTGCCCAGGGAGCAGTCCGGGCCGCCCGACCTCAGAGGGCTGGGGCGCTGCTCTCCTGCCCTCCATGTGCCCGTCTGTAGAATGGGCTGTGATGGGGGTTGAGGAACAGGAAAGACCGCACTGAGGGCCCCAAGGAGCTTTGGGGGAGCAGGCGGCTGGAAACCCCACTGTGGACTGTGGTCTCAACTCTGGTGAGCTCAGACGGTCTCTCTAATACTCAGAGAAACTTGGTGGGCTGCCAGACCAGCTCGTTAGTGGTGATCAGGCTCAGAGAGGAGCAGGCCTGGACCCTGGGCCTGGATGAGCCCAACCTGAGGGTCCTCACCCCTGTCCCTCTTTGTCCGTCCCTTGCCCTGAGTCCCAACTGTGGAGTCACGCCCCCAGAAAAGCCTCTTCAGGAGACCCCTCGCTGTGTGTCCTGAGCTGGCCCAAGCCTGGTATTGCTCCTGCTCGTGCACTTTGGTGGTGGAGAGGAAAGCCTTGGTGAGCCAGGTGGACGGAGTGGAGAGTGTGGGCAGCGCCGGGCATCACGGCAGAAGGAATGGCATGTGTGATTGGGAGTGTGGCTGACCACTGACCACCGTTCAGGGCAGCCTCCTGGTGCAGGGCAGCCCCTGCACCCCATCCCATCCCCTCACAGCCCCTCCGCCCCTGGCTCCAGGCCTCCCAGGGCCCTGTCTGGTCTTGAGCAGACCTCCAGGTCTGAATCCTTTTGCACATGCTGTTCCTTCTGTTGGAATGCTTTTCCCTGTCTTGTCTGTTAATAGAGACCAGCCCCTCCTCACCACGTGGCTCAGCAGCGGTCTCATGGGGAGGTCTCCCTGAGCCCTGGTCCTAGTTTCACGAGCCACAGCAAGCTCTGGCCGTGCCCTTGCCCACCCTACAACCCTGCCCCATTGCACAGGTGAGGAAACTGAGGCACAGAGAGCCCAGTCAGGCACAGGCGGTAGCCAAGAGCTCCCGTGAACTCACCCAGGGGCCCATCACCTTCCTCTGTGAGTCTCACCCCCCCACAGGTTCTTCATTCACAATGAGTTAATCCTGCCTGGCCACCAGCCCCCCACTCCCAGGAGGGTTGTCGGGCCAGGGGGCCTCGTGGGGGTGGGATCAGACAGCAGAAGAGGGGAGACAGAGAGACGCCGCAGGCGAGAGGGGAGAGGACGGGTCTGCGAGCAGGTGTGCGGAGGGAGGGGGGCGGGCACTCCCCGCGGGTGTGGCCTCCAGGCAGGCTCGTGCACGTGGAGGTACATGTGCCCACGTTTGGAGTGTGCACGTGTGTGAGAGCATGTTCACTGTGGGGTCTGCATGGATCCCCGTCAGGTGCCGGGGGTCCCTCCACCCCCACCCCTGGGTGGTGTTAGAGAACCGAAGGCTCCCGGATACCTGCACTAGTGCCCCATGCCATCACCCCCGGGCACCCTGAGGCACAGGGCAGGACACCCACTGTCTGGCTTCAGGCGGGTGGAGGAGGCTGGGTCACTGGGATGTCTGCATCTGAGAGCAGCCTGCGCCCTTTGACTCCAACCCCGGAACTGGGGCACCGAGCCTCTGGGGGGCCAGGCCCTGGGCCTGCACTCAGAGCCGCCAACCTCTCCCCAGGCTTCTGTGAGGCGGTTCACGGCCTCAAGTGGCAGATACGGAAACTGAGGCCCCGGCCGACAAGGTGACCTGTCTGGGTCCAGACGGGGCTGTCTGCGTCCTGGGCAGGGCTCTGACGACATGGCCGCCTCCAGGTCGGTGCGGGCCCTGGGCCGCCCCCGGGCTCACCTGGACTCACCCACCAGGCTGGCGGACTTGAGGCTTTACCTGGCTCCTCAAATTTCACTCATCCCCTCTGGAGACTAAGGAGGGCATTCCAAGGACCCGCGCCTCTCGTGGGCACAGCTGGCTCTAAAAGTCCCCGCTCTTAGAGGCAGCCAGTGGGGAGGGTGGCACCGGAGGGCTCCCCAGGCGTGGGGCTCTGGCAGGGCCAAACCAACCCAGCAGGTTGGGCAGGAACTGGGTGGGCCTGGTCCCGTCCCCGTACCCCACCCATGCAGGGTGAGTGTGACCTTATTCCTGGCCTGGAGGACAGGCCTGGGGCCGTGGACAGAGGGTCAAGTGCTCTGCCGTCACCTGCCATGGGGCCAGGCCACCATGCTGCTCTCAAACTCTCTTCCACGTCCTTCGGTGGAGCTCAGGACGTGGCCCCCAAGTTGTGGGGTGATGCTCACCCCAGCAGGCAATGAACAGGCTTAGCACGGAGGAAATGGTCAGCAAAGGCCGGCTGTG